GCATTGATCCATATTTCTTCCTTCTTTTTATATTCACTAATTCATTATGCCTATTTGCTAGTTGGTTTATTTGGTCGCTTACTAGCCCTTTCTCATTCACAGCTATAAAGTATGAAACTAGCAGATATACGTGTTCAATTTTTTGTTCTCAAACCTTTAAATAATTTAAATGAATTTGGCAAAAAAGAAAATTTTTTTTTTTCGATTACATAAATTTGACATTTTGGTGGTTGCGATTTTTCAGATGCGGCCATTTCGAGGGCCTCTGTCGTTATGATGCTCTGATGGCCATGGCCAACAGCAACGATAAAGCAATACCTCACTACTGTTGTTGCATCCATTGCTGTTACCGCTGTTGCCGTTGTTGTCGCTAGAGTAAGATGGTTCAGTTTTTGTTCGGTTGCCCCTATAAATGCAAATCACACAAGTTTTTTTCCCTCATTGTAGTCAACCCCGCTTTCTTATCGGAACCATCACTGCAAATTTATTTGGAAACTGCAGTTGCTTTTCCGTCTTTTTTTTTTTTCAACATTTCATCAACTTAAAGTTTCTAAATCATTTCTTGGTCAACTGAATTTTTAGCTGGCGCAAATTATAAGTTTAAAAAATGAATAATTTCGCAAACTTTGTTTTTGTTGCCATTGATAACGTTGTTTAGCGCGGTGAAAAATAATGATATTAAGGTGTAAAGGATGAAGTATGTAAGGCGATATAAATGGTAGAGAATCTCACTTGAGAGAATGGTAATTTAGCAGATGTTTCTGAAAAATGAAATGATCGTTTAGTGAGTTCCTGATTCTTTTCGTGGAATTGTCCTGTAAAGGAACGAAAAAAGATGTCTGATAACAGTATTGTCAGTATCAACTGAAGTGATTGACATTTGGAATAGAGTGTATTAATGGAAAAAAAGCAGTTGTTTATTGTATGAATTCACCATCGTAGGTGTAACCGATGACTAGACCGGCGATGAACAGTTTAGGGAGGTGAGGGTGGACGAACAGCAACGAAGGAAAAGCGCTAAATTTGGAATAATGACAGCTACCTTATCCGAACAACAATAGTAACAAAAGCTGCTGCTTCTAATCAGTTTTAGAAGTGTTTTTTAAACTTTAAGTTTATTTTGTTTATTTATTTGTGTTTTTTTCCCCATCTTCTCAATCGCATAAATACATCTTCGATAATATCGACTAAGGCTTCATTAATAGGATATTGGTTGTCTGTTCTGTGTTGATCTTTCTGAGGGTTGTTTTTTTCCATACTTTGTTTTGCTATTTTTTTGGTTACAGGCTTTAAAACAATTTTTTTTAAAGCTATTCACTGAGTTTTATGTTCGATTTTTACAAATGCTATTCAGCTTTTTTTTTCTTAAAGCTGCATAACTCCCTTTTTTTTCTTTTTTTTTTTCTTTTTTTGGTGTTAGTGGTGGTTAATCGGAAATATTTTTTAATACAATTATGCAAAGCTTTCACGCCATAGATGTGTATTTCCGTGTTGTGATCAGCATCATAAAAAGAAAAAAAAAAAAAA